GGAAATCATAAGTCACAAGGAGTGGATGTATCTGCGCCACTGAGAACGATTTTGAACCATGTCACCAATTGTCTCCAGCCTTCGTTTGTGTTTACCGTCCCGGAGACCCCAACCCTTCAGTAAGTCTACACCTTCCTACGTGGCTGGCTGGCTTAAACTAACTGTTGTGGATTTCATTGACTGGTGAAGCCATGTTTTGGTTTGACCGCCGCTAGCTCTTTTTCAGCCTGACTAATCCTATGTCAGCAACATCACCCCTTGTCGAGGAAGGCGATGACTAGGCATACGTAACACAAGTCCTAAAAATCTCAGTCGATATAAGTTCACAGCCTCCTCGATTGATTTCCCCTCCCATCTACCTAGCACTCTACCGATGCCTAACCTCAATATTGCCCACCTTATTATACCACTTCACACGGGAGATAGAGCGCTGGCACTTATGATCAAAGATAGCTAATCTTTTCATGTCTTCCACTCTCAGTGTGCAATCAATAACAGCTAGATTGCTTCTAAAATAAATCGTCTGAGCTTACACTTTTACTTCCTTTCTAAAAGTCTTAATTGGTTGTGCTTACCCTTTAAGTAATGGCAAGCTGCCTTTTATTCTTGAGCTTAAAATACGTTCATTCGATGACATTTTAGGTACTCCATAACCTTCTTAATTGAAGCGTTTGTATCCTGTATGTGTTTGACAAACGGGAAGGTCTGATAAAAGGAAGGGATAGACAACTGTCCCCTGATGAGTTCATAATTTTCAGATGACCACTTAGCTATTGTATGATAAGGGGATCTAGACATATCCAGACTAGAGCAGAGTGGTAGACCAGTTTACTAGACCATTCAACAACCTATTGATCTAACCCTTTCATAAAGTACTTCACAGATCTGATTGTTGCTCTTCATTCGTTGCGAAGCTTCTGTAATCTGCTCTCCGATTAATCTCATTTCGTTTTTCACATTAGAAAGTTTCGAGAATTTACTGCTATCATAAAGATGTGAGTAGTCTGTAAGATCCACGATAATAACACCTGGATCCTTTCCAGAGCGTGTTAATAGTATTATATCTTTATTGTGCCTCAACTGCTTAGGCTCTTCTTTGTCCTGTTTTGTTAGAACATTAGGCATTTTCGATTTAACGTTGCGTTATTGATAGCAAGAGTCAGTGATGGTAGATCCGAAGCAATGGAAATACTGGTCAGATGACAGTAAAAGATCATTGCTTCGGCTGAGTAGATTTTCAAGCTGAACAAGTGTATGCAGCTTGTTGACAAAGAGATTAACAACAGGAACTTTAATATCAAGATTTTATGGTCTACCAAAGATATACTTATACCAAATAGGCCAAGCACTCCACCCTAATATGGATTTGTCCGGGTCACCCTACAATACAATAGCTAGGTGGTTATCTGGAATCCTTAAACCATTCCATCTATCTATTCCCTTCATGACACCTCACTTTCTTAACTTTCAGTAGAAGTGAAAACAATAGCTTAAACAAGATGATTCGTTTGTAGAACTCCTCTTTAGGTGGTGAGTATGGCAAGTACCTCTTGATGGTAAATAATCTTTGAATACAGTGTGGTCCATCGCAATGCACAGGTGTTACACTGAAGTGGTAGTGGGTAAGACAATGGTTCAAGGTGTTATGCTGGCTGGAACTGATTTCAGTACAGGTCGCATAATGCCGGAAAGATCAGTTAGACACCAGAAAAGCAAAATGTAGTTACCGTCAACTTGTAAGTCGCTTAGGCTACGGTGAAGAACTGAGGGCAAAAACAAACTGTTGTGTAAAAGGGAACTAGTAGAAGGCAGGTGTTTCCTTCGAGCAGTCTATTTGAGGTGTCTTCCGTTGTTGAGAGGCAGTGGGGGGGGCTAGATAATGTCAGCCATAAAATTCTCAAATCCCAACTAAAACTACGGTAACTCTTAGGTGGTGGCGAATATTTCGGTGCTGACGAAACTTCAAAATCTCCACCTGCTGACAGGAAGCGTTTGACTGGTCTAAGTCTCAGTCTTTCCCTGGCTTCTGTTTTCGTACCAAACTTATGCTTTTTATCATGAAGATCCTCTGAAGGTACATCAAATTCCAGGGTATCAATACAAAGAGGTAGCAACTGTCCTGACATTTTCTCTCACTGTTAGTACCCTTGTGGGGCGTGCTATTGACACGATTTATTAGTTGTATGTGAAGAGAGATTCATCGGGACAAAATATCAAATAGCAGAGAGGTAAACTCGACACCAAAGACAGAAAAAATGAACCAGTATTGTGGCAAAACATGGGAGACACGAAAAGAAGACAAAGAAATACAACAGTCAGGAAAGAAGTCGCACAACACATAGGATCTGTGCAAATGACGATTTTAACATGAAGTATACATAATAATAATAATTTTTGCTTTATTTCAAAAACAGTACTAATGATACAGCAAGGAATTTTCAGCATTCATTACAATATTGCATCCAATTTACTCAAAACGACAAAAACAATAAACATTACATAATAATAATAATAAAAAAACGTCGTTATAGCAGCTGTGTAGCAAATTACAGTGTGCGATAAGGAGAAAAATATGCATAAAGTATAAAATTGTAGTAATAATAGTGATAACAACTAAAATAAAAAATAGCTAAGTTATAACTAAACGATAGAAAGACTGACACCATATAATACAGAAAGATGAACAATGAAAGGGTCGATTCCCTTTGCTAATTACATAGTAACTTCTTATATTTTTCACGCCTAACAGTGTAGTGTCTCCATCACATAAATACAGGTTAAATAGGAAGGGTATTGTAGAATTTTTTTAGTTAGTGGTGCGAGCATATAACTTCTTATATTGACTTCTCGTCCTACCTGATGAGATGCAAGGGGATAGTTTTGAATAAAGCGGGTGGGGAGCGGTGTAGGGGGCCTGACAGGACGGTCTTTGCCCATTTTGTACATAAATTTATGTGTCTCTCGACTATAGTATTGGCGAGCTCATGCAGTGGCATACCACAAGGCCTACTCACAGCATTTAATACCCTTCGCAATATGATATAGTCTTCCTTTTTGAGAAGCCCAGAAAAGATTAATGGAGAGCAATAGAGTAGGTACAATAGGTAGAATACAGGTGTTTACAAACTGCAGAAGTAAAGGTTGGTTGGTTGATACCTGACTGTCTTAACTTTTTAATGTAGAAGGTTGTAGACGAAACATTTTCTTAGAGATTGATGTGGGATGTGCGATGAAAGGTCAGAAGAAAGAACTAATCCAAGGTATTTAATGCTTGACTTGGTTTTAATTTGAGTGCCATCAATGTGTGCTACAGGCATCATGGAACTAACTAGTTCATGTATGTCACGTCGATGCTTGAAAGTAAAGTTAACTGTCTGACATTTGGAAGGATTTAACATAAGACCATTTGACTAAGACTACTTGCTGATTGAGATGTCCAACAGAAAGCTATTAAGTTTGGAGCTGTCAGACTCAGTGATAGGCAGTGATACAGTCAGATCATCCACATATTTGACTAAGTTAGTTTCGTTTAAATGAGGCAGGTCGTGTAGGAAGAAAGAAAAAAGTAAAGGAGAGAGGACGGCACCTTGAGGAACACCGGCTTTTGTAAGCAAGGCAGAAGAAGATTTTCCCGTCGATTGATTGAACCGAAGTGCTTGGTCTCAGGTTGACATGTCGGCTCCTTGTGCAGATGCTTCGACAATGCCTGATCATGAAACTTGAAGCCACTTGGTGGGTGATGGCTAGCAGTAGAATCCAGGATAACGCGGATTCTATCCTATTTGAAACTACGGACACTGGGTTCGAGCCCCGGTGGGAACACCACCACTCACAGGTGAATGTGGGTACATCCAGATGACAAGTCCCAAATGGGACGAAACGCGCGTTTTCTAGCTTTCAATATTTTTACTATTCTTTACTTAATTATTTTGCCTATTGAACAATGTATTGCTGTTCTTCCTTTTTTGAATGATTTTCTGAAGTATGGCTATCTGAACCAACACCCTCTTACACCTATCCGTAATCTACCCTCACGGAATTTATTTGCCTATATAGCTTAACCCAGGGCGATTATTTATGACTACAATGACCCGTAATATTAATTAAACAAGAAATTTAAAATATTGTAGTTTCATTCTCGTAACCTATCCGATTCTCATCATCTACAAGCGAACATGGAGAAGGCAGAGGTGATCGAGATACCCACTGCCCAACGACAACAACCAGTTAATATATGTGTAAAACTTGGGCACTGTGGTAGTAAGTAATTCCATATTGGTTTGTTTATTAGATGTATCACACAGTCACAGAAACAGCATTATTTACTAGGTGACGTTTCAAACACAAGTTATTGTTCATAATGTTATCACTTGTAATCGCACGACTTTGAAACTTGAGTTTTATAGTTTTCAAGTGTTGGTTTGTAGGGATTTCACCAAGGCATTATTCACAAAAACATTTCCCGATATGTTTGTTGAAAGGGATAAATAAAACGAACCAGCAGATTAGTTCTTGAGCACCTTATTCTTAAGCCTCATTCCCCGTAAACAGATATATTTCAAAGTGATACGTAAGATCGTGTCGTTCGACAGGCTTTCTGGTTACATCTTCTGTCCATTGCGGAAGCTATTTCCAAACACACAGAGAAAACCTTGAAGTGAGATATCGTGTGTGTGTGTGTGTGTGTGTGTGTGTGGAACAACTACAACTACAAGCTCAGATCATCTCTCGAAATTGAATGTTGTACAGGAAGTTGGTTAATATCTCCTACTTACAAATAATCAAGTAGTTTGAGTAATATAACGAAATAATGCGGGAAAGTGCAGTTGAGTCAGCATCGAATACCCGAGATTTATCAAATTATTATCACTGATAAACACAGTTTTTAGCATTAGGTTTTTTTATTTAGTATATGACTAATGGCAAATTGTCTCTAATTCAGATAAAATTCAGAGTCATAAATAAATTTTCAACTTACTGAAACGAAAATAAACTGAAAAGCGAGGTGTAAGCCAAAAAGCTTCCTGATAATGAAAACAATTGAAAAAGAAATGATATGCCTTAGCATCATGATGAATATCCTCAAAATGCTTTTGATGCATACTTTGTTGACTACTTTCGACTAACACTAAGTCCGTTATCATTACACAGAATTATACATTCACACTGTTGTAAGCTTTTATGTGTAGGACAAAGAATATATTTATAAGGCTTACAGTTGTACGGATAGTGCATTTGTTCTATTTGACTGAAAGTGCATATTCTGCTCGAACAATGACAGTGATTGGCTTTAACAGAACAATTACACACCATTCGATCATATGCTGTTGCAGGAGGAGGTGTGTGTTTATGTGTTGTTATTATCTTTGTTGATGATACGCTTGGCATTGATTCTATCGACTTTTGCATATCTGTTTCAGGCAGTATTAGTAATGCTGGAGTTTTAAAATCTGTTGTCGATGTCATCGTCTGTACTGATTTCGATAGTTCAGATTGTTTTGATATCGACAATGGGGGTGGTGGTAGTGGTGTTTCTGATCTTGGCGGTGTTGGCGGTGATCTCTGTGATTCTCTTGACAATGGCGATGATGGTGACTGTGACTGTGATACTTGTACTTTAGACTCAGTAATCTGTTTCGAGAATTCCTCATCTGTTCGACATTCTGCAGACGAATTCTCGACTGTTTGTTCACGTTGCATATTTGTATTCTTGTTAACAAGAGAACAACCACACATACAATAATTATTTCTTTCATTAAATTTACATTTTTGTGGACTAGTTGTAGAGGCTTTAATAGTTAGTGTAACAGATGGAAGTTCATACTGTTGTTGGGCAGTTTTAGAGCTTGTAACAGTTGTCTGATTCGGTGGGAAATTGTTTACTGGCTGCTCATTTGATGGCGTATTCTGTTCAGTTGCATTGTACACTGCATTCACTGGACCTATTTCGCTCAATGTTTCAATATCTGGTTGAAATAGCGTATTCAATGAAATTTTATTCTCTGCAAGTACGTGTTCAGTATTATCAACTGATTTGACTATTCTTAAATTTAAAGTACCCGGGATGATATTTTCTTCCATTGCTGTGTCGGAGTCATCGAGTAATAATGATGGAGAACAATATGTAATAGAAAGATGATTTCGACAACATGTACATTCACAGGGGTATTTTTGTATAGCAAACTGTTCAGTACCTGTTGATGTTGGATAGTTTTCTGGATTTTCATTATGATCAGTTAGAACAGGCAAAGCTGATTTGTTGATATCATCTTGTGGCTGAATTTTAGGCAGGTTTTCGTCGAATTCTACATCTTTACTTTCGACGAGTTCTAGATCGTCCGAAGTCATTTGTTGTTGTTGTTGCTGCTGTTGTTCTAGCCGCTCTTCTTCTCTTTGGTCTGTATTTCCGTAATCGTCGAAATTCTCCTGTGGCAGAACAAACTCTTCTAGTGGTAACTTTTCGACTTCCTCAACTTTAGTTTGCACAGGTTCATGGGATTCTGCATCTCTGTGTTGTATTGCAGTTTCATTTACACCAAGGTCTTCAGCCTTGAATGCCTTCCTTTTTGCTTCATCTTCTTTAGACAGAGAGATTTCAGTGATATTTGTGAAAGATATTGGCGAATTGCTTGACGTTTTAGCTTGATGATGTTTAGAGGTTGTTGTATCTTTTGAAACTGTAGCTTCATTGGAAGGCTTCGAACAGCATCCAGCTCGTTTGTTGCGTGTAGGTTTTTTAATTTTATTATCAGCAGTAGGCGTTGTGCCTTTAGTCTTGTATGGTGATTTCTTTCTTTTAAAACAGAATAGAGAATTCTTACTTTTGCCGCTTTTATTGGCATTCGGTAATGTTTCACCACTGCCAGTGCTATCGTGAACATGATCATAATCATCATTCATGTTTTCTGTGATCATTGTGGCAGTTGAAATTTTCAAGTTACTATCAGAAATAGATGGAATTTTATTCTGGTCTGTTTTTTCACTTTCAGATATAACGGAATGCTGCTTAACAAGTGTAGGGGTTAGTGTCAGCACTGGCTCAAGTGGAACAACCGAAGTTCTTTCAATTGTAAATTCTTCTGGTAGGCCGCCTGGTAAAAAGATTTGCGTTTCTGATATAATCGAACCTTGCATTGGCTGTTTCGATGGGTATTGATTGGTTTGTTTCGGTGACTGTACTGGACTAGTTTTATAAATGTGCATAACAGTCATTTTCGCCTGTGGTAACATTTCCTGTGATGGATCAAGTGTCTGTGGAGTTTCTGAAGTCCTCATAGCATTCATATCGTCACTCGAATCCCTATGCGATTTGCTTCCACACGATAACATTCTACATTTACGGGTGGACTTCTCAGATCCACTCGAGGTGTTCGATTTAGGTGAGACGTCCTGTTTACGTCGTTTCTTATCTTTACTTTCACGAGATGGACTACGATGAGATGGCTTCTTTCTGATTCCATTCTTCACAACCTCGTGTTCTTTAATTTCCTGTGGTGGATCAAGTGTCTGTGGAGTTTCTGAAGTCCTCATAGCATTCATATCGTCACTCGAGTCCCTATGCGATTTGCTTCCACACGATAACATTCTACATTTACGGGTGGACTTCTCAGATCCACTCGAGGTGTTCGATTTAGGTGAGACGTCCTGTTTACGTCGTTTCTTATCTTTACTTTCACGAGATGGACTACGATGAGATGGCTTCTTTCTGATTCCATTCTTCACAACCTCGTGTTCTTTAATTTCCTGTGGTGGATCAAGTGTCTGTGGAGTTTCTGAAGTCCTCATAGCATTCATATCGTCACTCGAGTCCCTATGCGATTTGCTTCCACACGATAACATTCTACATTTACGGGTGGACTTCTCAGATCCACTCGAGGTGTTCGATTTAGGTGAGACGTCCTGTTTACGTCGTTTCTTATCTTTACTTTCACGAGATGGACTACGATGAGATGGCTTCTTTCTGATTCCATTCTTCACAACCTCGTGTTCTTTAATTTCCTGTGGTGGATCAAGTGTCTGTGGAGTTTCTGAAGTCCTCATAGCATTCATATCGTCACTCGAGTCCCTATGCGATTTGCTTCCACACGATAACATTCTACATTTACGGGTGGACTTCTCAGATCCACTCGAGGTGTTCGATTTAGGTGAGAGGTCTTTTTTACGTCGCTTTTTATCTTTAATATGTTCATGTTCTTGTGATGGAGATTGCTGAGAATTTTGTGAAGTGATAAACGTCACACCACTATCCTTGTCTACTGCTTTTTTTTTCAGGTCTTCTTGAGATGTGGTATAATGTGAGAAAAATCGATTACTTTTTTTACGTGTACGACGTTTCGGTTCTTGTGACGGTGATGAGGAGTCAGAATTACGCGCAGATTTTTCGCTTGGCTCCTTTTGATTATCCTTACCAAGTGATGACTTCTTGCCTGTGACGAGGTGTCCAAACCTTTTGTGTTTGTCTGACTCTTCTGTACCACTTATTCCACTGCTGTGACTTCCTAATGATGACCTGTTTGAAGCCTTTTCCACATTACTTTCTTCGCTCACAACATCGTGACTAATTTCTTTTCTTTTTAGATGAAAATGTATTTTATCCACACTGGGTCTCTGTGAGGATTGTGATGGTTTCGAGTCACTAACCTCTACATATGGAGTTTTGTGAGTAGACTCTTTTGAAGTAGATGATTTCAGAGTATCATCTTTCTTGTCTTTAGTTTTGCTTGACGAACGGCGACAAGAAAAAGCCTTCTTAAGCTTCTGGATTACTGGTGACTTCTTTGGGGTTTTTACTTCGTCGTCTGCAGGCATTGATAGCTGTTCTTGTTCAGCAGACAACTTAGAATCCTTATTAATTTTACTGGGAACCCGCTGGAGTGTGCTTCCACTAGACGACTTGAGTTTTCGGCTTTTCTTGTCTTTTGTTTTCATTTTTATGGAGTCATCCTGTGGTGAGTCAGCAGATTGGCTGGACGGTGTTATTTGATCATGTTTTGCAGAAAGACGTTTCCTACTTGAATTACGTCGATGTAGACCAATCATCGGAAGTTTTCGTGGCTTCGGCGAGCTTTGTAAGTCTCCAATTGTATTTTCTCTATGTGTATGACCATCTTTCTTTTCCACTGATAGCCTACTACCTTCAGAAGAAATCGAATGTTCATTATTTGGAAGTGATGATGCTTCCCATTCACCAGCATTCTTACAATCAGTCGGTCTAATAGTTGGACAACTTGAAGCAATTTTTCTTTTTTTCTTCTCTCTGATATACATTCCTGAATCGATGGCATTTTGGTGCTTTCCACCATTTCCTTTCTCTATTGCATTAAATTTTGGACATGCTCTGGTATCAATGGCTACTACCACATATGTGATCGCTGGACTATGATTATCTGAATGTTGCAGTTTATCGTTATGATTCTTCCTCAGCTCATTGGATAGATGTGCCTGTAGCTGTTGATTACACGCACAATCGAATGTGTTTAGTGGTCTGTAGCTTGACGGCTGTGTTCTTCTAGTCTGATCTACAGTATGCATTATGTTTACTAAAGCACAACCGCCACAGTCATCACCGTCGTGCGTTCTAGGTGTACAACTGGCTGCGTTCGATTCACTTGACTGAAAGCACTCTTTTGAACAGCTTAATACAAAATCACAGTCTTCATTTGAGGTCCTGTAAGACTTCAGCGGATACTTTGACATGTCAGAAGCAATCAACTGGCTACTAGTATCAGGACCATACATAGTTGTATGTTTGTTGGCTACATTTAGTTTATCTGGAATGTCGTCAGATTCAGATGTCTTGTGATTTCTAGATTTACGTGACGTTTTTTGTTTAAAACGACTATTATTATTATTACTATTTTCAAACTGTTGTTGACTGTCATGATAGTCACAACCATGACAAAACTGTTGGTACAGATAACCAATTGTACTTCCATAAGAACCCCTAGAAATTGTAATACTGCGGTAATTCTGCAAAGCAGTACAACCATTCTTGAAGAGATTAAAAGAACATTGTGACGGTGATAGGAAAGAGGAAAACACCAATGTTATCTTCAGATGTGTTATTCGATGAAAATACAGCATGCTGCAGTTTCGCCCAGATCTACGTCGTTTAAAAATATTAGGAATGTGCTTTTCACACACATCATGAGATTTATTCAATACTTTCAAGAGTTCTTCTACAGGATATTTTGCCTCGAATTTTGCATATCTATGATTTAAAGTTGGCGGTCTCTTCACTTTGAAAATCACTAGGTAAGTGTTCATGAGTAGGGTTTCTTTGACAGTAGACACATTCACAATTATATATTCACGCTGCAGATCAGAGAGAGTGGAAGATTTTCTAAGTATTTCCTCAGGGTTGCTTCTAATTTTTATATTATTACTATCATTATGATAGCCATTACAATGATTTGTACACATGACTTGCTTATAAAGATTAAAAGCAACGACAGTTAGGAAGAAATTCAAGCCGTCATCAAAAGCACACTCTTTGTTATTTACCAGGTGATTTCCACTTATGCCTACTGCAGTTGTTCTAATAATTATTGCTCCTTTCATTCTGCTCACCAAGCTATAATCCTTTATAGAGTATATGTTATCCTTCAACTCGTAAATGCGATTATTCCTCTGTATATCTTTACCAGGACACTCCTCACTTCTATTTCCACTGTGCTTATAAACTCTGGCGAACAGTTCACATTTTATTCCTTGAATTCGCAATAAAATACCATGACCATGTGAATATTCGATTTTTTTAAACAATTCGTACTCAAGTTCTCTTACAACATCATTATTTTTTTCAAAGTTACTTAAATTTTCACAGGGATCATTTATGAAGATCATGCAAATTGTACTTCAAAATTAAAGAGGAACTAAAAAGGAAAAAAGGAAATACGATTAGGTCACTAAGGTGTTCACAAATGATCCTGTAAACGCGAGTTCTTCATCATGAAATAAAAAATGTCTATTAATTCTGTCTGAACGATCATTATTATTTCAAATCTATCATTGTCCACGTGATCACAATATGCGAGAATCAATTCATTTGTGCAGGGCTGGCTTTATTCATAAAGGCAAGTTTATTTATTGTGTGTGTGTGTGTGTGTACATACATTTTAAGGCTGGAAGTAGTATTGAAAGAATGAATGAAGTAAACCTTTGCCTTGGCTTATTTAACAATACTGACTGATGCGAACTCTATACATACTGGGATTATTTACACGTTTACTATTGAGCGCTGAAACTATATTACTGACTTATGTTTAAAACAAGCAATAAAGTTTAATAAAGCAGGATTTAAAAATAATAATTCGCTTTATTCCAATACAGTACTTGTGATACACAGAATGGAATTCTCAGCATTTCACTACAGTATTCCATCCAGTTAGTACATGAACTATAACTAAAATTCTACATAGATTAAGGGTAGTTAGTCTCAGTTAGTCTTGACAGCAACATATTAGCATATCGGTCGGTAGCAAAGCCAAAAGTTAACAGAAGGTGTTGGTGTTTGAAGGTGTTAGAATAGTAGATGCTAACTAGCATATTTACTGGCGTAAGCGGTAACAAAAATGGTCGAGATATACAGAGTGTGAGAGAACGAAGAAGAATGTTTTAAGTAGAATTTGTAAGGAAGAAAGAAACAAAACAGCACATAATAGAAAAAAAAGAGAGAGTGAGAAAAGGAAAAGAAAAGAAAGAAAACGTTGTACCTATAAATGATATGAGTTGGAAAGACGAGATCCAATTGTTCCACTGACTATTTAATAAGTTATAGGTTTCACGCCTAGTGCTTTCTTCTTTGTCGCACAGAACACGAGCTAAGTAGGGTATGATTGAGTTTTTGCACTTGCTAGTGAGAGCACATATAGTTTTCTACATAGGCTTCTGGTTCTGGTTCAATGTTGTTCGGTGACTTTGACTTGTTTTATCGTGCGGCGTTTTCTTTTTTTGCTGATAAATTTGACTTACAATCACGTGTCATTTGGTTACTGATATGTATGATTACCCAGATTCTACGAATCCCCTGGCACTTTTGGTGTTTCCATTGCACAAAATCTCTATATTTTACTGGCGAGAGCGTTGTCCATAGTTGTATATATATATATATATATACGTTTATATGGAAGAATACACATCATGTCTTTCGACACCTAGTTTATACTAAGAGTCAAAGGAAAGACTCACTTTGACCCGGTGATTGCTTATCAGAGTTCGTTCAGTTTTTAATTTGTATATGGTGTTGATTTTGTTCTCTCTTACTGTTGAACCTTTTCTTCTGCACAATGCTGACCGAAGTGACTGTGTTGGTTTGTGCACGATACCTAAATCCGAATGCTTTTAGTATTTTGGCCATTATTTCAGAAACATTCTTTATACATTGTAGAGTGAATTTTCTTGTAGATTCTGAAGACAGTTTGCCCCCGATAGTCTGATTCTGATGTAGATATTATTTTATCAAGATGTTTAATTTTAGATATGATCTCTCTCTGTTTCAGTGTCATCTATGTTGCACACCTCGTGTGAGTGCTAACCAATTTGTTTATGTCAGATTTATGCGTAAAGGTGAAATCGACTGTTTGGCATTTGGAGGGGTTTAAGGTAAAACCGTTTTCCTTGAACCACTGACTGATTTCTGATAAAAAGCCATTTAGCTTGGAGTAATCGCTTTGACATTTGACAGACAAAGATACACTCAGATCGTCAGCATATTTAACAAAATTAATGTCATTTGAAGATGGTAGGTCATGTAGAAAGAAATAAAAGCGTAGTGGGGAGAGTACAGCACCTTGGAGGACACCAGACTCAGTGAGCACAGCAGAGGAGGATTTACCTTTGTATACAGTGTACTGCATTCTGTTCTGGAAGTAGGAATGCAACCAGTTTGTGACTCAGGATTCAGTTTGTGTCATCGAGAGCTTATCTAGCAAGAGACATCTGGGTGTAGAGTCGAAAGCAGAAGTGAAGTCGAGAAACGTTCAGCGGACGTATTTGTCACCTTTATCTAATGATGAGACGATGAGACTGTTGTGTAAGACGACTGCAGCGTCTAAAGTGCCCCTACCCCGTCTATATGCAAATTGTTTCGGAAGGTATTAGACCCCCTTCGATTTGATTCGAGTTATCTACAGTAGTCAGTTTAGAAAAATAAGTGAGGATGATGTTGAGCAGGGATCATAAAGCAGTAGACTGAAGAGAAATCAACTTGTTTTATTGATAGAGACATAGACAATATCAGTGAGCATGTAGTGCCTTACTAATCTGCCTGAAGTTTTCAGTACAGAAGATGTGAAGATTTTGTGCTTTTGCTATTTTAAAACCTGTATTATACTTCTATGGTTGTCAAGTTATAATGTAATTAGTATAACTCTAATTTCCTTGATACATTTCTAAGCCTGAACTTCCAGTGGTTAGTTTGTAAGGATTAGATTTGTTTTTACGAGTCGATCACGGACTGATAGCAGTTAGAGAACCATTGAAAAGCAGCCACAGGGAGTACTGCCAGAGAGCTGTTTCATCCTAGTTTAGGAAATCATCGGCAGTACGCAGCCACTACAGGGTGTTCAAACACAGGGCCTTCCAGTTACTAGACAAGCTCGTATACCATTCAGCCACTCACTGGAACACGATTAAATGGTCAGTGCATGAATTCTAATTTCTATCGATTCTTTATTTACCGCGACTACCAACTAATGTCGTCGGTGGGACATCTTTCCTCACACGTGACTGGATGGACTTCACCGGTCACGACTTCTTACTAGAACTCCAGGAAACTCTATCCCGGAGTAAGTCACTAGCGAACACCTCAGTGAGTGTGTACTGCTGATGAAACCCAAAACTAGGCTGGTGAAACAGCTGTCTGGCAGTGCTCCCAGCTGGTTTTCACTGGTCCACTAACTTGAATAAAGCAAGAACAACAATTGTACCAGGATAATATGAGCTCATCTTTTATTATTTCGAGGATTCTTCTCAACTGCTTACAACCTGAACGTTAAAAAATATGAATTACATTAAAGATATGAACATATTTTTCGACGATCATAAGGAGTAATTAGTAGGAGTTAAAAGTAAAATTAGTCCGGGATGATTTAACTGATTAGGAGTTACGAACACTGACTATTTATAGAATAATTAGACGATTAAACTTGGAAACAAAAAAACAGGGTTGCGTATATATATATATATATATATATGTGTATAGAAACAAGATTTAGCTAGAAAGAGCATAACAAAAAGTAGATTACGTAACTAAAGAAAACGTCTTATCTAATAGCCGATAGAAAAAAGGAAAGAAAAGAAACAAGGTAGGGTGAGTCATGTTTAGATGAGAGAGTAGTGTTTTCTAAACATGAGAAAGGTGACTCATGAAAGTTGTACATTTTTGTTATCACCAGGGTAGTGGAAGATTCACCACTGTCTCTTTCTGCCTACATAGATTTAGTGGTTTAATTCGTTTGATAGCAATTGTTTCAGCAAAGTGTAGCAAGCTAGGTTTCTTTTGCTTGTTGATTATTGTGAACGACTTCAGGTTGTCTACAATATGACCAGTGTCCAATAGATGACGACCAATCGCACTGTTTAATGCTTGTGGATCTTTCAATCTCAGGTTCTTTGGTATGTGTTCATAAATGCGGACACTAACCCTTCTCTCTGTTCTTCCGATGTATGTGCTTTGGCACGTACATGTAGATTGGTAGACACAGTTCTCTAACTGCTATCAATCCTTGATCAACTCGTCAAAATAAATCTTAACTTTCAAAATGAGTGTCGTTACTGTCACTACCTTATGAGATGGTGTTTCCATTTTCACGTTTATCAGCTAGAGAAGTGTAACGAATCTCTATAAAGAGACCCTTATTCATCACCACACTGGCCATTTAAACTATTCTTTGGAATATGCCTGACGTCAGAACGGAAAAGTCCGAGATTTGAACCATTTTTATCTGACAGGGACATTTCAGAGATCAATCTGAGTGATGTCTAAATACTTTTGCAACTCTCTAATCGGGTAAATGGCTAGTTTTGTGTGAATAAACTATTATCATTATTATCAACATGCATCTTTTTACTTTTAAAAGTCAATCTGAACGAAGAATATTCTTTTCAATACATCCTTCTCCTATTCAGGTTCTTACAATTATAAAATATAGTATAATATTTGTTGTCGTTACGATAAAGGCCGGTTACTTGTGCGGCGGATACATTTTTTAAAATGTAGAATAACAGATTAGTTACGGGGTGTCAAAATAAATAGTAGTATTTATGTGACAAACGCCCTCTGGGTTGAAATCGATTACAAAATATTGTAAAATCGGAGACAATGGTGGTGGTGATTAGTTATAACAGAATTGTGGAGTGCGGCGTAGAGAAAATTGACAAGTCAGTTTAACTTTTCTTGTGGTTCAAGTTATATAGGGCGCAAATTTAGGCAGGTTCGTCTACGGGTTCGAGAACGTTTACTAGCGTGGTTCAACGGGAGGGAAATTAAGTGCATATAAAGCTCGGTCCTGTCACACTTGGTCGGGACTACTGGACATTGCATCGATGTCAACACAGCTTTCAAGGTTATATACCGAATTCCGAAGTCGTTATCACGTACAGTTCACTTATGTCTCCTACACACAGCTGAAGCTGTTGGAATAAGATCGCCTAAACCGGAACTTTGTATATGAAAAGAACACGTCCGGGCGCTATCTCTACAGTGGCCAAACTTGGATTGATGATTCTTCATCTCTCCAGGAGTGCCGCTTCTCCTTAACCCTCTTAGGTATTTTTCCTCTTTGCTTATTATTTCAGTTACTATTATTATTCCTCATAAGCTTTACCCTCCATGAAAACATCCTCTACATACAATCGAATTTTCCATTTATACTATCCGGACTTATTATTAGTGATATTATCTCTTCTCTCAATATATACATCCACCTGTTTCTTCATTTCACACATTCGTCATTTCATTTTGAACCTCATATTGCAGTCTTCCTATCTCCTGTTTAAAACATACCACTTTGTACTACCCAGTTACCCACTCACCTGACACATTTTATAACACTGAACTGACTTACTTGTCAATTTTCCTACCCCACACTCCACAAATCTGTTATGACTAATCACCACCACCATTGTTTCCCGTTTTACAATATTTCGTAATCGGTTTCAACCCAGAGGACGTTTGTCACACTCAAATACGACTATGCATTTTGACACCCCAAAGCTGCTAATCTGTTATTCTGCGTTAAAAATGTATCCGCCTCACAAGTAACTGGCCTTTATTGTAACGACAACAAATATTATACTATATTTTATAATTGTAAGAACCTGAATAGGAGAAGGATGTATTGAAAAGAATATTCTTCGTTCAGATTGACTTTGAATTCACACTACTAAACTATGACCTTAAGTCTCCTCATTTTTTCCCTCATTGGAAGCATAAAGCAGTGCTACCTATAAATACTTATCAACTTATTCCTTATTATTAGCGTATACTACTGATTATTTGATGTGAGTAGTTAGAGACGAATCACGTCAAAATAGCAGCTGTGTAACAGGGGAAGACAAGAGACTGAATAACGGACCTCTCTCTATTAATGAAAAAGCACATATTTTTTAAATTTTGATTACAGCTTGATTCCACATCGTATTTTTGGTACAAGTATGGAATTTTCAGCATGTGATACCGGTAGCCCAAATTTTGCAGGCCGATCATAGATATCAGGTGTGCGTCGGCAGGGATTGGAACCTCGGACCATATGCATGGTCGGCGAGAGTCATGACCGCTGTGCCATTGATGCTCATGGAACTACATCTAATTATATAGATGATATAAGGTAATCTCCTGCTCTGATACATTCTGTTAGTGTATATCTATGTGTCATCTGACTTTTCAGGTCGGCTACGTGAGGCTTCTCCGCGGAAGTTACACAATACACTTTTGTAGTTCGTGAGTTTCTCGTTAAAATAAGATAACAAAATACAAAAATTTCTCTAGCAAAAAGCCTTCTTAACTAATAAGTTAATCACATAAAATAAATGTGAAATACTAAAAGGAGAAAATTGAACAGAAAGTTTTACGAAAATCAAAAACCAAAAGAAAGAAAAAGAAGAAGAAAGATTTGAGTATCTGATAGTGTAGAGAAACAATAGTAAAATGAACATTTACTCGTCACGTGGTATTTCCATTGTTAAATAAGACGGTTGAGATGGGCGTGCATAGAAACACCGTTGACTATAACATTGTGAATATGGATTACAAGCACAGTTTATTAGTTGAGGAGAATGACTATTATGATGGTGGCAACAGTTATATGGGATTAAGTTATACGCATTTGTACAGTGTGTGTAAGCTGGAATATTGTTATAGAAACAGCATGGATTCATTTGGAATGGACTCAGGCCAAGTGTAGGCGGTACACAGTTAACTATCGGTGCACAGAATGACGGACAACAGTGACAGGAGTACAGTGGTGCTGGTTGCGCTTGAGGCGACGGCCCATATGACATGCTTTTTATGTCGTTATCCAATGGATTAGTCTTTATATTATCTGAATTACCAGGAGTGACAGCGTTCTTTGAACTTGTAGGCTCTGTAACATTATCAAAATTGTTTAAATCAGAGTTCTTATCATGGATTATTATTGGTGATTTTCTTCGAATAGTTTGATTTTCTTTAACAAAATTAGTGGCGGCAGCTTTTGTTCCAGCCGAACGGAATCCCATAGATGGTGAACGGTCTATGCTATAAGGAGTTGCATGTGATTCGTCTTCTAATCTTTGTTTATCTGATAATATAGTCGTGTCGTCTGATGACGATTTATACACACTGGCTTTACTTTGTACATCCCTTTCCTTCGGAGAACTACGATGTCTCTTATAGTGGAGTTTTACACTGGATGAAATACTCATTTTTAGCAGCAGATTTTTTTTTGCTTTGTTTATCTATGCTATGCTGGTTAATTCTTTCTGTCTTTTTCCATTGTTAGTGAAAATGTATAATAACACGTAAATGATAACTGTGCACAGAAATAATAGTGTTGGTAAATGCCAGTATTTGTGTGACTACTGATACGATCAATAAACATTCAAAATCCGTCAATAGCGAAATAAGTAGTAATCCATTTAGCTGAAATTTGTTGAGTGTAGAATCCTAAGCATATATTTTTGAGTGCTGTTTAACAATTCAAACAACTACAACAACACCAGCACCACCACCAAATTCATGAATACCAGTAATTCCATATTGGTTTGTTGATTACATGTATCACATAGTCACAGAAACAGTATTATTTACTGGATAACGACGTTTCGAACAAAATTTATTGTGGACGCAATTCATTGAGGACATAATTCTGGGAGTACAGCTAGCTATGTCTAACTTTCACAGTATTTCAATTCCAAGGGAAAATATACAAACAAACTGAGGGAGTTTCCATTGAGTCACCAATATCCCCGGTTGTGGCAGATGTGTTCATGGATAGGTGGGAAAACATAGCGATTGAAACGTTCACCCCTACCCACTCCAAAAGTATGGTGGGGGTATGTAGACGACACATTCACTGTACTCGGAACACAAGATACAGGTAGATTTTTGGAACACATTAACTAAAAGGTGGAGGCTATTCAATTCACTTATGATGAATTGGAAAGTCAGGAAGCTGGGGAGCTTCCAATGTTAGATTGCAGGAAGAAAAGAAAAAAAAGAAGGGAAGTTAAACACACTGGTGTGTGTTTACAGGAAACCCACACATTCAAATAGATATTTGGACTTCCGATCATCCTATCCTATGTCAGTAAAAATGGGATTGGTGAAATGTTTAAGTGATAGAGCACAAAAACTAAGAAGCACCAAGGAAAATCTAAGACAGAAAGTGATGCACATAAAGAAGCCTTAAAACTTAATAATTACTCCGATAAATCAGTCAGGAAATATGTAAGGAAATGTAAAAGTAAAATAAATAATGATAGTAGTGATAGTGATAATAATAATGATAATAATAATAGTAATAGTAATAATGACATGTATGTCAAACATGCCCACGATAATGACAACCTCAACAATAAGCAATCTAAATCATCAGTAGTAATTCCATACAAGGAAGGAACCTTGTAAAACACCTTACGGAGAATTCTTGACAAGCCATGCACGAGTAAAAGTAACTGTCATTCAAACCAACCACAAACTCAATTGGAGACAAGCTTTGTCGGTTAAAGGACAAAACCTGTGAAGCCTTCAAAACAAAACAATTTAGTTTATTTAATACCCTGTCAGCTGGAATGATTCTCAGGTCAAATACGTAGATGGGTCAAACTAGTAGAACAGGGTCAGTCAGTGAGAATAGCTGAACATAAAAACTTAGCACGGAAATCTAGATTGGTTGACCGAATAAGATAAGAAATCTAGAGAATAGTTCAGCCGTAGATAGCACTCACTACATGCAGTTACACACAACACAGCCACACAATAGGATGGGATAGGATGACGGTTTGAAAATCCAACTGATATAACAGGGTATAGGGAGAGATTGAAAACAGAAGCTTTGTTTGTCGAATCAACTGCAAATCGACACGTGTAATAGGAATGACTCAACACCTGTCCACACAGATATCTGGAAGGTTCTACTACCCCAATGACGACGACAGATAGGAGAAGACAAAGAAAACTATAAAACTCAAGTTTTGAAGTCGTCTGATTAAAATTGATGATATGATTATGAACAATTAATTTTGTTCGAAACGTCATCCAGTAAATACAAATACTGTTTCTGACTGTGTGAAACATCTTATCAACAAACTAATATGGAATAACTTACTACCATAGTGCCCAAGTTTTACACATATACTAATCATGAATACCGGACAAATTTCACACCTGCTATTTAATTCGGCTTTCAAGGTTATAACACAGTTAGTCCGTTTTATAAATTTGGATACTGTTGTGATTAGAAGGCAGAGATTATCCTAAAAGTGTGATGCATTTGCGCTATACATTTCGAACAATCTGGTCCCTTACACATTTACTTGTCAAGTCAAGATGAATGTATGAAGAAAGTAAATGCAATTAAAGTACACAAAGTGACAAAATGATTTAAGAATACTAACAATACTTAACACAATGTTCGGTAATCCAATCAAATAAGGATTACCAAGGTGGGTTAAGAGTAATAACAAACTGATTTCCAACACACTGGGTGGGGGCGGCTTGAGCTTGAGTAGCTATAACCTCAGTGTATTTCAATAAGCGCCCTTGACCATTTTTATAGATGAACTTAAAGGCTGAGTTAACATCAATCTTATAGTCCAAATGGGTTATCCTAGTAGATTCGTAAAGAGACAGGAACATGAACACCAGGTAAAATAAAGAGAACACAGTTAAAAAGAAACAACTCTTCAGAAAATTGCAATTTAATGGGGACGTGGCTAGCGAAGTCTTACATCTGAGATTATCGAGAGCGATAAAACGGACTTATACTGCCTCCACCCACTGTTTGTCACTTTCCAACCGGCCAATTATGATTGCTCAAGTGAAAGACAAGCTACCTAGTAAGCTGTACCACTTCTATGTGTATCCATAAATTTAGTTGGTTCTGTGGAAAGCGCTATATAGGGCGAACAACTAGGCAGCTCAACAAACGTATTGATGAACATCTCCCTTCATGGCTCTGGTTATCTTTTCACTTCCCTTAGTATAACGTATCTTTTAAGATTTAACCTAATTTGTTTATTTATTGAATTGTCTACATATACATATATTACTTACTACCTTTGTTATTCTTATTGCAACCTGCACAAACCTTATTATCAATATTTTGTTATTGGATTTCATCATGAGCTGACATTAGTTAGAGAACCATTCGAACCTGGGACCTTCTAGTTACATGGCGAGCTCGTATACCATTAAGCTACTGAAACCCAATCCAATGGCCCGTGAATTCTAACTTCTGCGTACTGATGAAGAGTCCCAAACTAGGACGAAACAACTGTCCAGTACTTCCAGGCTTTCCGATGGTTCTCTAACTAATGTCAGCTCATGATGGAAATCTTGTAACTAATCAAATCCCTACAAACAAACACTTGAATTTTGTTATTATTATTATTATTATAAAAAACAATATCCTTTTGTTTTTCATTCATTGGGAAATAAAAAAAACCTTTATTATAATATTTTGTTATCATTATAATCGTCGTTATTAACTACGTTCAAAACATTTACACATTATTATTATTATGTTTATTATTTGATCCACAAAATCACCGTCATTGGTTAAAAACTTTTATACATAAATCTTGTCAGCGACCATACGACGTTGAAAGCGCCGGTTCTCGTCCGATCACCTAAGGTAAGCAACGTTCGGCTCTGCCAGTACTTACATGGGTGACCGGCTGGGAATACCGGGTGTTGCTGGCTTTTAACGTGCGTCGGTGGCATAGCGGTTAGGACGCTCACCGACCATGCACATGGTCCGGGGTTAGATACCCGGCCACCGACGCACTCCTTTACCTCGCTAAGCCAGAAATAATTCTGGTAAAGAGGAAAGGTTGGGCATGGGGCAAGCAACCCCATCCTGTAAAAATGAACACTGCTACAGAAACTTCAAGCCACTAGCTTGAAGCCCTATGTTCCACTGGGAACGTGAAGGAAAATATATATATATATATATATAAATCTATGTAAATTAGAGTAAAGCCTGAAGAAGATCTAGTTAAAAACAATATTGTTCCCCTATATGTCTTGTTCTAATATTAAAAAAATTGGGAATATTTACAGATTTGAAGTCTTTTGGTTCATCTCGATTAGATGTTTAGCTATAGACGAAGTTGGTAGTCTGCCACTTGCGTCTATTGGTTTTCCACAATTCATTCGTTTTTCTAACCATTTTGGGATATGCTCTCCCACCTTGTGCACATTTGAGGTTTGCAGTACAGCATATTTTTGGCTTATTCGATAATTACAAGTCGGGCTGCATAATATGTTCTACGGATGACCCAATTCAACCCTTGTCTCAAAATCCTAATGTTTATTTCCCCGTTATATGGTAATTTGATGAAAACATTTTTCTTAGGGGCGGTATAGATTGTTGTAGGTTTAAAGACTAATCGACTTCTACACCTGTTTAAAATCTTAAACAAATATCCCTGTTTTCAAGAAGAGTATCCATCAATATTTCATTTTCTTTCTCTATAACATCAGCTGTGCAAATACGTTGAATCCTCTTAAATAGACATTTCACCAAGCCTCTCTTATACTGTAGTGGATAGAAAGTGTTAGAATTAAGGTATCGCCCTGTCCAAGTGGGCTTCCTGTAAAATAGTCGTCTTATTGAACCATCATCTCTTTGACTCAGAAGTATGTTTAAAAATGCAAGCTGGTTGAGACTTTCTTCCTCGCATATAAAACTTATACGATTCTGCACAGAGTTAAGTCTATCTGATAGACAACTTGCATCTTCATGTTCGTCACATATCAAAATGATATCATCTACATATCTCCCATAGAAGAAGAGCAATTTACAAATTAAATCAGGGGACAAGTTCTCAACATAAGACATGTAAACGTCCGCTAACAAAGGTTCTAATGGACTCCCTATAGCAGCGCCATCTTTGTTTTCGAAAATGTTCACTTTCAAAAGCGAAATGGACGTTGTCAGTATATAATAGTAATAAATCTTTCAAATAAGTTAAAGGAAAAGGAAATGAAAAACAACTAGAAGATAATATAGTTACAAAGAATACCAACAATCTTAATCAATGGTACATTAGTAAACAAAGAGTTAACATCAAATGAATACATTTTCTTATCTTTTATGTACGTATCTACAAGACAGTCAGCAAGTTCAAATGTATTTTTCAAAGTAAACTTACATAATTCATTGCGTACTGGACTAAAAACATCAGCTAACCATTTTGCTAATTTATATGTAGAAGAGTGACACATCTTATATATATATATATATATCGACTTGACAAGTAAGTGTGTGATCAGACTGTTCGAAATGTATAGCGCAAATACATCACATACCATTTTTTGAGATATTCTCCGTCTTCTAATAACGCTATCC